ACCAACCATGAAGGCTGGAGTTCCCCGAAGAGACTTTGAAAAATGTCTCATCCCTAACTTTACAATGACTGGAAGATGATGGTCTTCGAATAGAGCAATATGAAAAAAATATGGGTGCTCTTCTAAAAGGAGAACCCCAAGTGGAAAGGAAAATGTGTTCCCCGTCAGCAAACAATATCGAAGTGCCAACGTTTTCAGCCTTCTAATGGATCGCAGAGAATACTTGATGTTTGATGTGGGAAGTGGGGGCAGAGGAGGGAGTGAGAGAAGGAAAAGAGGGAAAAAGAAAAGAGAAGAAAACAGATGTGAGTTTTAAAATATTTCAAGCATAGGTAACCGAAACAGTGTTCAATGTATTTAAGACCGTTCTGCAAAGTTTTAAAGGTGGTTAATCAGGCTTTTTAAATGCAGTCGCGAGATTTATAAGCACTTAACGAGTGGTAACGTCTCCAGAACAAACAAGTGGTAGGAGATGTCCCAGGTCTGGACTGCCTTTGAAAGCCTATTTTTGCTTGCTGAGAGAGATAAAAAAATTAGGATGATTATTTTTTTTTATCCTCACCCGAGGATATTTTTCCATTTTTTGTACAGATAGAGTGGGAGGGAGAGAGAGGAAGGGAGAGAGAGAGAGAAACATCGATGTGAAAGGGACACATCGAGTGGCTGCCACCCGCACGACCAACCAGGGCCGCGGACAAACTGCAACCAAAGTACGTGCCCTTAGCGGGAACCGAACCCGGGTCTCTCCGGACCGCAGGCCGACGTTCTAACCACTGAGCCAAACTGGCCAGGGCGGGGGTGATTATTTTTAATAATGTCACAAACTCTTTCACCTATAATATCCACATCATTGGATAATGTCTTGAATCTTCATTTCACTTAATGAAAGGTTGCCAGATTAACAAATAAAAATACAGGTTGCCCTGTGTAATATGTAGGGAAATACACTAAAACATCATGTTATTTAACCCTCATGCTAAAACATTATTTGTTCCTTATCTGAAATTCACACTTAACTGGGTGTCTTGTATTTTATCGACAACCCTACTGTACGTGGAGATTCATTAAAATGCTACCGAAGGTGGAGACAGCAGCTTTGTGGGGATGAGGAGGAAGATCGGCTGCAAATGTCACATGCTGCTTCCTGAGTATACCTGTCTGTCTGGGAAACCGAGAGGAAGGGGTTCCTGGCAGACTACTGGAGAAGCAGGGTGACCAGACGGAAAAGGGACATGGGGACGGTGAAGAACTGTAAACCCCCTGATGGCTGTCACACATTCATCCTCCCTCTTCGCTGCAGATCTTGGAACTCCCTGTGCGCTTAAAGCGGGTTCTCCTGAAGAGGGAATCCAGTCCCTCCTCTCGACGGGCTCCGAGCTCCCCCTGCTGGCTGCTGTGGGAATCGCCCCCCAGAACCGGCCTCATTCATCCCAGAGATTTCTCGTCTTTGACTTTCCCTTTTAGAACACTGCCCACCAGTTTCCTTGCTCTTCCTTCCTTACCCTCTTTCTGTCGGCTTATTCACTGGGAGCCTGTCTTCGGGGGCACACCTCCCAGCTGCTCAGGCCCCCCGGAACAGGCCACACAGAGCTGGTCATTGTTGCCCCAGTTCTGGGACCACCCGGCAGGGAGAAGGGGCAGCGCACTGCCCGGAGACAGGGTGACTGACAGCAGCGGGGTCAAGTGCCCAGCGGGCGCCCGGAAAGAGGGAGCCCCCGCCCCCCCGCCAGGGGTCCTCCTCAGTCCGCTCCCATCCTGCGGGAAGCCAGCCCTTCCTCCACGCGCTCTTCAGATAACAGGGCTAAACTGTTTTCAACGTGGTGTATATGAATGAAAACGTACAAAAAAAAAAAAAAAAAAGGATTTTACTGGGAAAGTAAGACTTTTCAACCTGGGAAAAGAAATCCTGCTTGGGGTGCAACAGTGGTGCCGAATGGATAAACAGGGGCACGGGAGCACATGGATCCCAACGCCTCCAAGTGTAGGATTGAAAACATGTGTTAGGGATGTATTTACTTATCAGAAACATTTAAAACACGTTAGCCTGCAAAATGTCCACGGTCCCATGTGTGAGCAGATCTGTGACTATCACATGTGGAGATCGATGCTTGCTTCCCTCCCCATCATCTAAGTCACACACCAGGCGCCTTACCGGGTAACAAGGTCTCCACCACCGTCCACAGGCTGAGCCCAGCTTCCCGGGCACTGTGGAGGGGGCAGGATCCACCTTGGCTGCAGGAGGGAAGGAAACCGGTGACCCCAGTGGGAATCACACCCTAGCAGTGTATTCATCTTTTTGGCCCCTCCCTGAATGCCTGTGTCCGGGATGTCCCAGGTGTGCACAGGTGTGCAGATGTGGACCCCCTCAGGGTGGCCTGAGCTGGTTTGGTCCCCCCAGGCGGTGAGCAGCTTCCTTCCACTGCCCCATTCAGCCGTTCAAATATCCCAGACCCCGTGGAAGAAGTTAGGATGTACTGATCAAATGGAGATTTGTAAATTTCTTGGTCAAAAGATCCTTTAGAGAAATGGATGGAAATGAAAGATTTCTACCCCAGAAAAAGGCAAATGCCCAAAACTCTCCCATAATTTCAAGGGCTATAGGAACTCCTGGATGTCTTCATGTGGATGATCTAGGGGTTTGGGGCCCCTGCGTAAGAGCCTGTCCTGCAAGAGGCTGCCACCTGAAGGTAAAGGGTCTGCAGACACAACTTCAACCTGGGCACGCCATGACGTCACCTGCTCATCATTTATTAACAAGCATGATGGGAAAGAGCAGTCGCCCACGAGTCACCCCCGTGACTAGAACGGCTCATCAGCACAATGGCTGTTTCTGATACAGTCCTTAAGATCTTACTCAGCTCTTTTCACAGACTGTCATAATCACAAAGATAAATCTACCTAATTTAAAGGTCAGACAGGAAATTACTTTTTTTTTTTAAGAACCAATGGCGGCATTACACTTTTCTGATGCCAACATGGAAATGATCAGTTTGTCTGAGAAATCTGGACCTGATGTGGACAGGCAAGTGCAGTGTCTCAGCCAAGCACTCGCCTCCCCCCTCGTTTCCAGCCCAGGTCTCGGGGTTGGGCAGGAGAGTGTGCTCTTCCTTCTTTTCTCGTGGCTGCCTTCCCCCTTCTGGTCCTTCTAAGATGTTACCTAGTAAAACCTAAAAAAATTCTGCATGGGGTCCTCCCCCAGCATTGCCCTGAGCTCAATGCCAGATTTCCATGTCAGGAAAATGTAGTTCCCTTCAGGGAGAATAATAACAAGATGCAAAGGTATAATGTAAAACTATTTTTTTCTTCTTTATTGAAAATACATCTACAAGGTAATGCTTCTCAGTCCACACTGGGTGCCTGTGTACACAAAGCCTGTGATGGGCTGGCGAGAGGGTCATTCTAGAGGACTCGCTTTTCCGTAAGAAATGGTTAGTGTATAAAGAAGATCACACTGTGTAATGATTAATTTGACATGATTAATTTTTGCTCTAGTGGTGACATCCACACACAGTAACATTTGTAGTGTTTCCCAAACAGAGCTTGGCGTTAAGAGGTTACTCCACCAGAGTCTAATAATGTTAACTTTCGTACACACAGAATGCTCGGGGTCTATATAAAATGCCTCTAATTGCATAATAGAGGATGTATGTCTAGTTTTCAGTCTGTTAGCATAATTAGGTCCATCCTTCACCATTTTTGATCAGAAACTCAAACACAGCCGGTATCGCCTGACAGCCCCCAGTTCACGTCTTTGACTGATAGTCCTTAGGGGGTGAAAAATTAATCTCTGAACCTGGGAGCTGCCTCGCCTGAAGCTGATGCTCCTGTTCTTTCTTCCTTGGACCCACACTGACAATGTCTCCGTACTGATTCATCTTCTGCCATTTCTCTCAGGGACACAAACAAAACAGAACAAAACCCCACTCCAGCTGAAGGTTTTGAATGATTCAGTAAATGGAATTCCAACACAAAGAAATACCTTGTTTCCCTCACTCTAAGAACTTTTGATTATAGAAAAAAAAAACAAACCCTTTTTAAATAAGAGACCACCCACCCAGCTCACAGACCTCTATTAGAGGGAGAACTCATCCATTTGACTTGTTTAAAATATTTAAGAAGTGACCTTATATTTTGCTATGCAGACTTCCTTGGGGAATGTTTTTGAACTGAAGAGAAAAAGTGTTTCCGGCTAAAAAAAAAATAAACCTCTTTTATTAAAAAAAAATTCTTCCTTCAAGATGACCTATTTATAACCTTGGTGTTTTAAAATCCTCTCTTAATAGAGTCACCTGTGCTTCGTTCTTTCCTGGCTGGCTCTTCAAGTGTCCCCTAAGACCACGAGCACCCTTGCTAATTGCTAGCCTCGCATCTTAGCTCCTAACAGTCTGTTGTCAGTTGAGGAGTGGCGGGAGACGTCCTTCCCGGAGCAGTCCAGGGAAGGGCGGAAAGAAGTGAAAACTTACCCTGCGGGGAAGAACTGAGTGAAGAGATCAAGCATAATTCCACTCCGAGAATGGCCTTTGGCCTGGTGACTCGTACAACTGACATTTTGTATACAGGGCCTGGTAAACCACACCGCCATCCCGACCCTACTTAGGAGAGTTCATTCCCAATAAACGTCCTTTCTGAAAGTCGCATGCTCCACGCGATGGGACTCTCTACAGGATGTTCCCAGGGGGAATCGAGGACAGCTCTTTCATGATGCCACGGGATGTTTGGGCTACAAGAGACCACAGTGGCATTTAGGGAACTCAGCCATTTTACAGATGAGGACACCGAGGCCTGGAGAAAAGATGTAACTTGCTCATGGCCACAGGGGCATTTCACTGTATGCACCTGCTCACAGCTGTGCTGGGCGTGGATTCGTACTGCCCTGCTCCCAATAAAACAAGAATGCAAATCAGAACAGAAAGGGGGAAAAACCCTTCTGTCCAACTGAAAACCGAGTGCCGTTTAGCACGTTGTTTTGTTTTGACACTAAAACCGAAGTGTGTTCTAGAGGATTTTTAAATTTTGAAAGTTGATTTAAAAGCATGTTTTTAGCCTACTATTTGACTCTTTAACTTATATAAAAAAAAATCACATTTAAAGGATTGTGTGTCACATAAACTTGCAAAATCTGATCAAGACTATTTTTGATCTCAGTACCTTATTCCGTAAGACTAACATGAAATGACGTAAAACTTTCAAATGTGGGATGAAAACATTACATTTTGGCCGCTGCAAAATCCTCCCTTGGTTTTGGATGCACACTTCCAGATCCTACCAGAGCTGGGAGGAAGAGGGAGGTAAGGGGCAAAGGGGAGAGAATCGTTGTAACAAGATGGAAACGTTTTGTCGTGGTTTCCAAACACCTGGTGCTCAGGAAAGCATTTCATTCTGCGAGTCTACATCTTGGTTTCACTGTCGATGGGCTTCTCAGTTTCGCTGTCCTGGGCAATCAGCTGGTAGGGTTTCTTCATTTCGTTCTCCTCGATCACGGAGTTACCCATCTCCACGTCCTGGGTCTTCAGTTCGTGCCGGGACAAGTGCTCCACGATGCCGGCGCCCAGGGAGTCTCCCAGCACGTTGGTGGTGGTGCGCAGGCGGTCCCTGGGGAGGGCGGGAGAGGGACGGTGAAGCCACCTGGGGCGCCAGCCCAGCTTCTGAGCTACTGGGGACGTGTTTGGAAGCACCCCCTAAATTTTGCGTGATGTGTCCCCCAACTGCCTCATTACATAACCTTTATGATAGCAGTTATTAAAACTTATAAGGACAGCCCGGCCCGTGTGGCTCCGTGGATTGAGCATCATCCCACGGACTGAGAGGTCCCAGGCCGATTCTGGGTCAGGACACATGCCGGGATTGGGGGCTCGATCCCCAGTAGGGGGCGTGTGGGAGGCAGCCAATCCATGTTTCTCTCTCATCGATGTTTCTGTCTCTCTCTCTCCCTTCCTCTCTCTAAAAAATTAATAAAAATTTTTTTAAAAAGTTACCAGACTATCAACAGTGGGGGCATGACCCTTCCCTTTCTTGTTTTATTTAAAATTTCTTTTTGATTCTCTTTCCTACAACTCACCTTTCTTTACATCAGCATTTCTCAAAGTGTGGTCCAGAGACCTCTGGGGGTTCCTGAGGTCAAAACTGTTTTCATAATAATGCGACAATATTATTTGCCCTTTTTACTCTCCTCTCCTCACGAATGTCTAACAGAGTTTTGCAAAGACTACAACACAACACAGAAGATACCATAACTGATTGAATGCAGAAGCAGTAGGAGATTCTAGCTGTCTTTTATTAAGCCAGATAGTAAGGTGATTTGCAAAAATGTAAAATGGTATCATTCTTTCCCCTGAATTTTTGGTTTGGAAAATTATGTATATTTCTTCCATAAAAATGTTATTTATATTAGCAGGTAATGAATTTATTATTGTAACCTTTAAAAGAATTCAACATTTGGCCCTGGACGGTTTGGCTAAGTGGTTAGAGCGTCGGCCCACGGACCAATGAGTCAGTCACAGGTTTGATTCCGGTCAAGGGCACGTACCTCGGTTGCTGTTTGTCCCGGCCCTGGTTGGGTTATGCGGGAGGCAACCAGTCAATGTGGCTCTATCACATTGATGTTTCTCTCTGTCTCTCTCTCTCTCCTTCCCTCCCACTCTATCTAATGATAAATAGAAAAATATCCTTGAGTGAGGAATAAAATAAATAAAGAAAGCAATAAAGAATTCAGCATTTGAAAAATGTCTAAATTTTTCTAATAGGACACGTACTGGCAGATCTGACCCACAGAGATAAAAGCGCGTTTGGTCCCCATTAATTGTTAAGTGTAAAGGAGTCCTGAGACTAGAAACTTTGAGAACCACAGATTTCTACTCTGAAAGCCCTCACGTTAGCTAAGGGCCGACTGTGGGCCAGACAGGGCTGAATGCGTCCCTGTGTCACTACACTTAACCCTCACAGCACCACAGGGAGGTAGATGACATCATCGTCCCGGTTGTACAGACTAGACAACAAAGGTGGCTGGGTAACCTGCCCCGTGTCACAAAGAGCCAGGTTGTAAACACAGATCCAAGTGACCTGGGCCTCATGCTCTCAGCTGGATCTTCCTCCCTGCACCTGTCCTGCCTTGGGCACACTGTCAGGCTCTCTATGGTCAGCAGACCTACAGATGTCAACCTAATGTTGGCTCCAGCATGGACTGTGTCCTTCTAAGCATTCACTTTGGGAGTCCCGGGGGAGATATTTTGCAACTGGATGGGAATTTATGAGAGAAAAGAGGCAGGAAGCGTCAGCTGGAAGGGTGAGGTGGAAGGGTAGAGGGATGGGGCCTAGAGGGTACTTGTTTTGGAACCTTCCCCAGAGCCCAAACTCATTCCACTGAGGGATGCTAGCTGTCTGTCTGCTGTCTGTCTGCTGTCTGCACGGCTGCCCTGCTCCGAGTTGGGCTCAGATGGGAACATCTGTGCTGCATTACGCCGCTGGAATGGGCAGCCCAGGAGGAAGGGCCTGAGCCAGCGTGCGAGGCCCGCGGCTCCGTTCCAGCCGCCATGGGGATGTTGTGCAACGCAGACGGGCCTTGCAGACAGCGGGTTTCCCAACCCTGGACGGCTTTATGGAGTGAGAAGTGCAGCAGCCACATGTGAACGCAGGCTGATAAGGGAGCGAACGCACATGGCGTCTGGGGCCTGGCCTCCAGATAAGGGCCGGGATCAAGCACCCAGACAACTTCATATCTGGCCGAGCTGCCCGTCTTGTGCAGCCCTTCCGGCAGGCATGCCGGGCTTCCCGGGGCCCTTTGACCGTGAGCCCGAGCACAGTCCCAGGATACTCACAGGAACCAGTCCACCGCGATGATGAGGGTGATGTCGTCGGTGGGCAGGCCCACGGATGTCAGCACGATGACCATGGTGACCAGGCCTGCCTGAGGAATCCCAGCTGCCCCAATACTGGCAGCCGTGGCTGTGATGCTGTTAAAAGAAGCCCCCAAACAGAAACCATTTGTACACATCTCCCCAAGTAGGAAGTATACCCGGTAAATAAACACAGCGCGGTCTGACTTGCCAGGATAACAGAAGAGGACGCACTTTAGAAAACCCACGGAACTAACAGGCATATTGACTAATATTTATTCTGTGCCCTCTGATAGGCTGAACGTGGCTTATCTCGTTTGATCTACACGCCAACCTTTAGAATGTTGGTTTTATTACGACTGCCATTTCTAAATGAAAAAAATTGGTGGCTGTGGACTTTTCACGTACATGAAAGTACTTCGTGAGGTAAAATACTGTATAGTTCAATAACAACTTGTTTCTAATAACTCCTCTGTCCAAGTAGAGGATTGTAAAGATACTGAACTTGTATGGTTAATGAGGTCAGAAAAAAATCAGATGTATTAATTAAAAAGCAAATGGTTATGAACCAAGTTCTGTAGCACTATGAATATATTTTTAGGGAGACAGTATGGACCTGGTATATCAGGAACATACCCTGTTTGGGACTCAGTTTGTTAAATACCTATTTAATAGGCTGATGTGAGAATGTGAAAATGTTTTCAAAATAGTTAAGTGTTACCTAGATACAAAGTATTAATAAAGTAATAAGTCTGTGGAAGAGACTGTCCATGGTTCCCTGACACTGTTCCCCTTCCATAGTATTGGAATTTTTAGCTGGTGTATAGCTGCCCAGAATGAAGACTACATTTCCCAGCCTCCCTTGGAACTCCTTTAGACAATGTTCTGGCCAATGAGACACCAATGAAAGTGATCAGGCAACTTGCAGGCTGTGCAGCTCCTCCTCTCCCTTATGGCTAAAACTGAGGTGGTGGTGAACCCCCCTGGACCATCTGAATGAGGGTAACACCCCAGGGACGATGGAACCACAGGCCTCGGTTCCTTACACATGGAACACCTACCAGCCTTGGGGCTTTGTGGAGCAGAGCTGCGACCCAGGAGAAATGCAGTTCTGCCTTATTAAAGGCACTGTTACTGATATTATTATTTTTTAACTCTGTTCCATGCAACTGAACCTTTTTCGTAACTCAGGGCTATACAACCAGTATGCCAATGTATGCCGGAAAAGAGGTTATGGTGAGCTGAGGTATTGCTCTCTCAGCCTCAGTATGGCTAGACTGGGCCTGGGACTCCCAGAATTCTTCGGCCGGTCACCTCTGGACATGACCAGTTTCTTCTTTTTTAACCCTAATGCATCCTATAACTATTATCATTTTCCAGCTGCACAAAACATACATACAGAGTTTAACAGAACATTTAAAAATAAACACATATAGCCCTGGCCGGTTTGGCTCAGCGGTTAGAGCGTCGGCCTGCGGTCCTGAGAGACCCGGGTTCGGTTCCCGCTAAGGGCGCGTACCTCGGTTGCAGTTTGTCCCCGGCCCTGGTCGGTTGTGCGGGTGGCAGCCACTTGATGTGTTCCTTTCACATCGATGTTTCTCTCTCTCTCTGTTCCTCTCTCTCCCTCCCACTCTACCTGAACAAAAAAATGGAAAAATGTCCTCGGGTGAGGATAAAAAAAATAAAAATAAAAAATAAACACATATATATGTATGATATATATACATTATATATACACGCAAAAAATGTGTGGGAACAGATAGAGATTTAAAAAGATTAAAGTGACATAAAAACCAAATGCAAGCCATAAATCTAAATTTGATCTTTGTCTGGGGAAAAAAAGCTATAAAAGACATTTTGGGAACAACGGGGGAAATTTGAATATAGGCTAGATATTCTGGAAGTATTTTTAAGATTTTTTACTATTGTGGGTATGTAGAAAATTATCCCTATTCTTAGGAGATGTATGCCGAACGGTGCACAAGTGAAATGTCATGAAGGCAGAAAGAAAAAGTGGGGAGGGGAGAGAGAGAGAAACACAAAAGTGGAAAATATTAACAACGGTTGGATCTAGGTAGAAGATGTTTGCTGTGATATTCTTTCAACTTTCCTATATGCGAAACAATAATTTTTATAATAAAAAGTTGTGGAAAAAACCCAACTTACTTTGATCTCCAAAATAAATTGCTTAAAATAATCAACACACAGACACGATGATGAACAGTTTCTGATCTGGACTGTGAGGCTTAGACTGTCCACTCCAGTTACTTACTGGTCTGTGTGCACACGGACTTCCAGAGCGATAATGTTCACATGTGCACGGGGATATGCATGGACCATTGTATAAGGACACTAAAGAAACTAGCAAGCAACAGTGGTTGCCTCTGAAGAAAACTAAGATTAGGGGAAGGTATGGGAGGAAAAATCACCTTTCACTTGACACCTCAAATATAATGGTTAAAATAAATAGTCCACAGAAATTAAATCTCAACCTATTTGCCAATGTGGTCTCTCATCCATTTTACACGGCCTAAAAATTGACCTAAGAGAAAATGTTAATCCAGTTTTTCAAGTATAGTTTTATTTTCTAATACTGTCAATAACAGCTAACATATTTTAATGCCTGTTCAAACTGAAGTATAATCTAACATTTAAAAAGAGAGAGAAATAGCCATACCATGTATTCTGCAAAAAGATATATTTTTCTATTTCTATGTATCACATATTTTTGTGTATTTCTTCAAAAAGAAAGAGCTAGATATATTTGTAGATGATATAGTAATAGGTCAATCAGTCAAGTGACAAATACTATGTCTGATGTGATTCCATAAATTACAAACAAAAGTGTGTGTATATCTATGCATAAGGAAAGGTCTTTATATACCAAATATCAACAGTGGTCACCTACAGAAAGATGGGGTGCAGCCCTGGCCAGTTTTTCTCAGTGGTTAGAGCATCAGCCCATGGACCAAAGAGTCATGGGTTCGATTCTAGTCAAGGGCATGTACCTCAGTTGTAGTTTGGTCCCTGGTCCTGGTTGGGGTTGTGCGGGAGGCAGCCAGTCCAGGTGTCTCTCTCACATCGGTGTTTCTCTCTCTCTCTCTCACCCTCCCACTCTATCTGAAGATAAATGGAAAAATATCCGCTGGTGAGGATTATAGAAAGAAAAGAAAGATGGGGTGCAGGCAAGTGCCACTTTCTACCTTATACATTCCCATATTATTAGAACTTTATGATTAATGAATGTGCACATCTGTAACTTAAAAAATAGATAAAAATGACTAACGATATTCCCACAAACCCCAACCTCCTATTTATGCTCAAGCCCCCTCCCCAGCTGTTTCTTCACCTAATCCCTCATCACCAGCTCATTGTTTGAAGGGATTCTTAAGAAAATGTTGGAGAGCTTCCCTTGTACCTGATTGTAATAATCTGTCCAAAGTTCAGCTCAAAGTTGTTAACTTGAGCGATGAAAATGGCAGCCAAAGCCTCGTAGAGGGCGGTCCCGTCCATGTTAATCGTGGCCCCCACCGGGAGCACGAATCTGGTGACACGCTTGTCCACGTTGTTGTTCTCTTCCAGGCACTTGAAGGTGATGGGCAGGGTGGCAGAGCTGAGAACAGCAACACAGGGCGGGTCAGCTGACCATCCTGGCAGTTTAGACCATGCCTGTGTCTGTATTTTGGACAGAGAGTTCCTTCCTGTTAAAGGGAACTGAGTGAGCCCTGGCTGGTGTGGCTCAACGTTAGAGTGTCGGCCCTTGGACCAATGAGTCTTGGGTTCGATTCCGGCCAAGGGCACGTACCTCAGCTGTGGTTTGTCCCCGGCCCTGGAGGGGTTGTGTGGAGGCAACCAGTCGATGTGCCCCTCTTGCATCGATGTTTCTCTCTCCCTCTCTCTCCCTCCCATTCTTTCTGAAGATACATAGAAAAATATCCTCAGGTGAGGATTAGAAAAAATAATAACAAAAATAAAGGGAGCTGAGTCAGCACTAATGTAGGTAGGGAAGCATGGTGAGGAACAGTGTGGGTCCCCTCACTGCGTCACTTGGCAACTTTACTGCTTCTGGGTTCCTCTGTGGGCCTCACTTGTCATTATTTTCCCATCACACAGCTTGTGCCAAGTGACAGCCATCTCTCCCTCAGGCGAATGTCAAGTGGAAGAGGGAGATGACAGTGGGCAGGCAAGGAGAGTTGATTCCCATTTTGTGCCCCCAAAGGGAACACAGTTGGTCTGATTAACATCGGAAGTGAAAGAGCCAATTCATATTCCTGGAAGTTAACCACCCCCCTCCCCGCAGCGTCTCCCTCTGCCTGAACTGAGGGTTCTGGTTTGATGTGTACGTTGAGGTACCTTTTCTGAGAGGAGTAAGCCACACACACACTTACCTGGAGGAGGTGCCTAGGGCTGTGATGAGCGCTTGCAGCAACCCTCCGATAAAAACCCAGGGGTTTTTCCGGGTTACCAAGAAGTAGAGGAGGGGCAGGACAATGACGGCGTGGATGAGCAAGCCGATGATGACAGTGACGGTGTACATGGCGAGCTGGCCCCCGATCACTCCCATGTCCTCCATCTCCACGATCTTCCCTGCGATCAGGAAGAGGATGCCCAGAGGGGCGTACCTGTGCGGAAGCACACACACCGTCGGAGGTCTGATCGCCAACGAGCTCGTCTACAGAGGCCACCGACTGGAGAGGAAAACTGGAAGGGCCCAGACGGGGCGGCTCAGTGGATCGAGCGCCGTCCCATGGGCTGAGGGGTCCTGGTTCCATTCCTGGTCCGGGCACGTGCCCGGTTTCTAGCTCCATCCCCAGTAGGGGGCGTGCAGGAGGCGGCCCATCCATGTTTCCCTCTCACATCGATGTTTCTCTCTCTCTCCCTCTCTCTCAACAATCAATAAAAATATTAAAAAGAGAGAGAGAGAGAGAAAACAAAAAGTGAAAGGGAGTTGATCTCCATACTTTTCTGCCCAGGACACTCTTAGGACTTGTAGAAACTGTGAATGTCCTTCTTTCCTTTTTTTTTTTTTTTTTTTTATCCTCACCCGAGGACATTTTTCCATTTTTTGTACAGACAGAGTGGGAGGGAGAGAGAGGAAGGGAGAGAGAGAGAGAAACATCGACGTGAAGGGACACATCGAGTGGCTGCCACCCGCACGACCAACCAGGGCCGGGGACAAACTGCAACCGAAGTACGTGCCCTTAGCGGGAACCGAACCCGGGTCTCTCTGGACCGCAGGCCGACGCTCTAACCGCTGAGCCAAACTGGCCAGGGCTCCTTCTTTCCTTTTTAAAATATAAATTTAAATATAAACACTGCAGGTTGGGCCTTCCTCTCACTCAGAGTTTCTCTAGGTCACGTTTGTTTTCTCCTAAACCTGTGAGAAGAGACAGGGCAGAGGTTTGGTTGCCCACCTCTTTTCTCCTGGATTGACTCTCACTTCACCTGGGCCACCTTCCCAGCCTCAGAGCACCCCGTCCTGCGTCCGGCCCCCCGCTAAGTGCTCTGAACCACCAGGATCCACAACGCCCAGACTCTGAGAAACATTTCCCACATCAGAGCCTGACCCCTGAGTTCAAGCCGGACGCACACCACGCCCAGTGGGTGTTTCAGACTTGCTGTCCGCGCTCATTCAAGGACTGCTTTCATGATTTTTTCCCAGGTGACACACGACTTACCATATTACTTCATATGTATCTTCAAATGAACTCTCTTACTTAAATTTCTCCTAAGAGGAGACTTGGTTACAGTGCAAATGGAAAACTAGTGCTATTTGCCATCAATAGAAGGCAACCATCAAATAGGTGCAGAGCTATTCAAATTAATCACGTGCGTGTGTCCACCACGATCAGATTATAGGTGTTCCAGCTAAGTCATTATTACCCACAGGCTGCCCTGCCATTTGAGATCTTTCCCCTGTAGACTCGGCAAGAGTGAAACTGAGACACAGAACGACTTCTACATGTTGAAACAGCCCGGTTGCTTCGAGGGCCTGCTGCCAGGCATTCGACTCGGTCTGATGTGTGCTGTAAACTACAGCCAAACTCATTACCAGAACCAGAGAGGCTATCAGCCTGAAGGAGAAGGGTCTGCTGGGAACTGGGGAGGACTTATTTCAAACAGAAAGGTACAATGCTTCTTTTAGAAGTCCTTTAGAAACACAGGCCAGGAAATTATAAGAGCACCTGTTTGCATAAATGTAATAACTCGACGTTGGATGCAGGCAAAACGCACACCTAGAAATGCTGCATGTGAGGTTCATTCAGCAGCCTTGAATGGGCTTCTTTCATAAAAGAGGTGAAAGGTGCAGGCATTTTAATAATATGAAGACAAATGTCCACTTTCAGCCCTGCCAGGATTTCAAAGGAGGGCCCGCAGGATTTCATTTGGGGGCTCCTGCGGAGACCACATTCTGATCCGTCTTTGTGTCCAAGTTTTCATATCCATCTCGTACAAACTTCTGAAAAATGAATTTCTCTGGGCTTTGGAAGCAATAAAGACAAGGAATATTTTTAATCACGTTGGTGAGTATTTTTTTTTTTAGAAACGGATGACTTCCTGCCTCAGGTGCCAAGGAGGGGTCTGGATTAAAAATAAAGGCTAAACCAATCAAAAGATCCTCTCCCTGCTGGAGAGAATTTACTTTCCAAGGTCAATGTTCCTCTTTGAATTTAGTAGTCTTTTCCTTTGTCTCCTGCTCTCAACTTTATCTGAAAGAAGTTTGTTATAAATTGTGGCTGGCATGCTATACTATGTCCCATGAATGCTTCGGTCATGCAGCAAGACCACAATGGATTTCTTTCTTAGGGCTCAAACAGAGGAGGGCGTCTCAGTTTTTCTGGTGGTCCAGGGGACCCTACATTTGTTTCTCCTGCTACTGGGAATTCTCTTCTCCTGGCACTTTGGATGCCTGGCTCCTCCAGGTCATGCAGGTCTTAGCAAAAAAGATCACCTCCTCAAGGCAAATTTTATGCCTCCTCCCTAGTCACTTTTTATCACATGACATCACATCAAATAAAACCTGTTTTATTTTTCTTCATAGCACTTGTGACTGAAGCATCTGGTTGATTTATTTGTTTATCTTCTACCTCCCTTAAAAGAAAGTGAGATTCAGGACATTCTTGTATGTTTTCTTCATTGCCACACCCGTAGTCCCTGGCATTATATGATTGGTATACAGTAACACTGAATAAATATGCCTTAAATGAATAAATGGATTGGAAATGGAGGAATGAAGAATGGGATCCCATCAGCACTGAGGTAAAGGAGTTAACACTTTTCAAAAACAAGGAAGCAGATTTATTAAAAGAGGCTTGCAGACAGTTCAAGACCACCCTGCACCCAGAAAGTCATTGCTTTTCTTGTGCTTACCAGGCTGGGGTCATCGCAATGGGCTATCCTGCCTGGTGGCATTTCCTCAGAACCGAATACATGTTCACGGCAATAAACATCTCATATATAGCATATATAGCAAGTGGAAATACATACCACATTATCACGGCTACCAATCTCATGATGGCTTCATTCAGAGAATCAAAGAAGTCTCTCAGGGCTTGTCCCTGCTCCTTCATGTTTCCAATCACAAAACCAAAGCACATAGAGAAGACAACCAGTCCCAGGGCATTGATCCCGTTCACAGAGCCTGGAACTGGGATCATTTCCTCTGTGATCCTTGAAAGAGTTTCCATGGCCTCTGACACATTGTTTATCACAGCGCCAATGAGCGTTTCGTTGGACTGGACAGGCACTTTGAAGCTTTTCTTCTCATAGTTGGTTTTAAACTTCAAGAGAAAAGGCACAACAGAGATTAAAGGTGATATTTTTTCTTCTTTGTAGTTTTTTGTTGCCCAAATTTTCTATGATATACATTAATCTGCATTCAAATAACATTGTTATCTATCTATCTATCTATCTATCTATCTATCTATCTATCTATCTACCTACCTACCTACCTAACATCTATCATTCATCTAATCTGTGACAAACCCTTACTACTTCCTCAGCACGTGCACACACACACACACACACACACACACACACACACACTCGTATACATAACAAATCATAATAGGAAAGCCATATCTGGTTGAAGATGTTTGACTAAACACACATGTGTTTTGTTTTATTCTGAAACCCTAATAAAATGAATATAATTACTTTTAAAAACCTATAAATCCAAATATTCACAATAGTCTCTTTCCTCTCAATGGAATCATGCTATGGAATTATGGACAAATCACCTAACATCCTTTCGTTCCTATTCTACGGCTGTGAAACAGGGATAACTGTGCTGGTCCTACCTCACAGGGTTGTGATGATCAAATTAAACAGAACATATGAGACCATCTTGTAAATTTTAAAGTACTATACTGATGTTGGCTAATGGTACTCAATAACAATGCCCTTCAGGGACTAGACTTGGTTGGAGATTTCAGTGGATATTAAAATTTTGTAATCTCCAAACAATAGTCTTTAAGGCATTCCTGATAGTATCAATTGACAACCCACTTCTCAAGTCCATAGTGATATTTTTGTTCTTATTTAAGAGACGGTCTTTTCCCCATTGATTCTATATATATGTTCCAGGCAGGAGATGCTAAGTATATTACTGAGGCCAAATAAAATAATTTAGCTCATCCCTCTATGATTTTATTTTTTTTCTTTATTAATTTTCTAGAGAGAGAGGAAGGGAGAGGGAGAGAGAGATAGAAACATCAATGAGAGAGAACATCAATTGGCTGCCTCCTGCATGCTCCCCACTGGGGGAATTTGGCCCACAGCCTGGGCAGGTGGCCTGACCGGGAATCAAACCAGCAACTTTCTGGTGCATGGGTTGATGCTCAACCACTGAGCCACACTGACTGGGCCATCCCTCTATGATTTTAATGTGGGCAGAATTCCTGGCCTTCATGTTGATGGTAGGAAAGCTTCAGAGGGAGTAGTAACATGTGGATATTGACTGGCTCTGGAGTCTAGGGGAAGAAAGCACAGCTATGTATGAAGTGCTGGGCCATTTCTTTACCAAGAATAAATGGGAGACTTTCTTGTCCATTGCAAAATCACCCAAACAAAGACATGGCCAGCTATCAAAACTGTGGACATACCGCAGAACAATCAGTGGTACTACTGGTAATTTCAAAGAACAAAGGAACTGATCCCTGTTGTCTCCTATTCTAATGAGTTCTCAGATCTCTATTCCACTGGGGTGTGGATGCATTTCATGGATTGTCTAGGGTGGATTTTCAATCCTGATTAGCCTTTCCTATGCCTCCAACTCTTTCCCCTTAGACAGTTTGTAGCCTATGTAGAAATTGTAACCTCTTGATTCGGGTCTAAAACAAGAAACGGGGGTGATACTTTGTTTCTCCAAATCCGTAAATGCAATCTAAAAACCACAAAAAAATACAAAAACAAACACAAGTCATCAACACTTTCCCCAGTGCTGCTGGAAATCAGCATTTTTGATGGCACCCAGTGCCAGCTGGCTAACTAGAATAGCCACCCCACGCTACTGGGGTTGGTTGGTCAGATTGAAAAGGGTTTATTATTTATGGGTAAGTTGTTTTTGAATACAAAAGTTAGATTTTGGCCTCTTAGGCTCTTTTTTTTTTTTTTAAAGTAAGAATACTGTTAGAATATTGCTGTGTGTGCATATTATACCCATTAACAAGTCAATAAATTTTTTAAATGGAGAAAAAAACAAAGGTTGGCTTATTTGTGTAAAACTTGGTCTTCCACGAGGTTGGCGGTTTGTTTTGTTTGCTTTACCAATCCTAAACAGAAAAATTAGGGAATTACAATGAGGGTAAAATGACACCATCTGGAAAAATGTTTGGAAACTATTATTAAACCCAGAAAGGCTAATTACTTCCCTTTTAACATCTGAACAACACAGTTTATTATTATTTTTTCTTTATTTTTTAAAATTAATTAATTTTTGTTACAGATGTTTCTCCTTTTTCCCCCCACTGATTCCCCCCTCCACCTCCCTGCCTCCCCTGTCCCCAGCTGTGTTGTCCATGCCATTCCATGCATACATGCATTAAGTTCTTTGTTATCTCTCCCCCACCCCCTCTTCTGGGATTGTCACTGTACCCCACTCCCACATCTCTGGGACTACCCCATTCCTCAGACTGTTATGTCATTATATCCGACAAATATGAGATCCTGTGGTATTGGCGTTTTCTGCTTGATTGTTTTCCTAGGATACTACTTTCCATCCCACCATGTCTCTCAAAGGATAAGATCTCTTCTTTCTTACAGCTGCATAGTACTTCCATTGTGTATATGTACGCACTGCTTTTTTTATCCATTCTTCTACGGATGAACAGTTGGGCTGTTTTTCCAGATCTTAGCTATTGTAAAAATGGTACTATGACCATGTGGGTTCTATAGTTTCTGATTGGTGTTTCATGCTTCTTAGGGTATATCCTAGAAGAGATCACTGCATCAACGGCAGTTCCATTTTCAACTTTTTGAGGTAAAACCATAGTGTTTTCCAGAGTGGTTGCCACCAGTCTGCATTCCCACCACAGTTAACCTAGAGTTTCTTTTTTTTTGTTTTTTTTTTTTTTTTTATTTTTTATTTTATTTTTTTTTTTTTTTTTTTATATTTTTTTTTTTTTTTTTTTTTTTTTTTTTTTTTTTTTTTTTTTTTTTATTTATTTTTTTTATTTTTTTTTTTTTTTTTTTTTTTTTTTTTTTTTTTGTTTTTTTTTTTTTTTTTTTTTTTTTTTTTTTTTTTTTTTTAGTTCTTGTTTAGTTTTGTTTTGTTGGTTTTTGTTTTTTTGGTGTGTTGTTTGGTTGTGATAGTTGTTTTTTTTTTTGTTTTTTTGTTTTTGTTATTTTTTTTTTTTTTTTTCTTTTATTTTTTTTTGTTTTTTTTTTTTTTTTTTTTTTTTAATTTTTATTTTATTTTTTTTTTTTTTTATTTTAATTTTTTTTTTTTTTTTTTGTTTTTTTTTTTTTTTTTATTTTTTTATTTTTTTTTTTTTTGGTCTTTTTTTTTTTTTTCTTTTAGTCTATTTAGTGAGTTGTCGGGTTTAGTTTGTTAGATTTGGTTTAGTGTGGTGTTTTTTATTAGTTTTTTTGTTTGTTTTGTTTTAGTTTTTTTTGTGCTTGGCTTTTTAGTATTGTTTTTTAGTTTTTTCTCCTTTTTCCCATCACAACCCCGCCAACACTTGTTGTTTGCATGATTTGTGATGGGCGGCCAGTCTGACGTTTAGGTGAGGTTCCTATCATTTGGTTTGTTTTTAATTTGCATATCTCTCTGATGATAATAATGTTGAGCATTTCTTCATATGTCTCTTAGCCATTTGTAATGTTCTGTTTGGGAAGTGTCTTGTTTAGTTCCTCTGCCCATGTTGTTAATTGGATTCTTTGGCTTCCTTGTTGAGTTGTATAGGCACAATTCTAATAATAGTTTGGAATTAACCCCTTACTGATTGTATCATTGGCAACTATACTCGCCCATGAGTGGTAGCCCCTTCCGCCATTTTGAAGTTGTATCTTTAGCTGAGAAACGTTTGAGTTGATGGAGTCCATGTATTTCATTTCTCCTTTGTTTCTGTTGCCTTAGGTGATGTATAGTGAAAGTTCTGCTGTGTACGATGTCGAAATTTGTTGCCGACATTTCTGCTAGATTTTTATGATGCATGAGTCACATAAGTCTTTTATCCATTTTGAGTTATTCTTGTGTAAGGTGTAAGTTTATGTCTTGTTTCATTATTTGCACATAGCTTCCAATTTTCCCACACCATTTATAAAGAGGCTGTCTTACTCCACTGTATGTTCTTGCCACCCTTGTCAAATATTAATTGAGCATATTGCCTGGTCCTTTCCGGGGTTCTCTGTCCTTTCCCGGGGAGATGTCTGTTCTTGTGCCATACAGGCTGTTCGATACATTGGCTTGTGTAGAACCTGCCATCTGTAATGGATCGTCAACTTTGTCTTTTTTTTTTTCAAGATTGCTGTGGCTATTTGGGATCTCTTTTGGTTCCATATGAACTTTTGAAGTATTTGTTCTGGTTCTCTGAAGTATGTCATTGGTATTTTGAAGGGGATTGCATTGAATCTACAGATTTCTTTGGGTAGTATGGACATTTTAATGATGTCAATTCTTCCAATCCATGAACAAGGTATGTGCTTTCGCTTTTTAATATCTTCCTCTATTTCTTTTTTCAATGACCTGTAGTTTTCTGCGACTAGATCCTTTATTTCTTTGGTTAAGTTTATTCCTAGGTATCTTAATTTTTTTGCTGTGATGGTAAATGGGATTTTTTTTTTTTAGTTTCTCTTTCTGTGAGTTCATCATTGGTGTATAAGAATGCCGTCAATTTCTTGATGTTAATTTTGTATCCTGCTACTTTGCCAAATTCATTTATTAAGTCTAGTAAATTTTTGATGTAGTCTTTGGGGTTTTCTACGTATATCATGTCATCTGTGAATAATGACAGTTTCTCTTCCTCCTTTCCAATTTGGATCCCTTTTATTTTGTCTTCCTGTCTGATTTCTATGGCTAAGACTTCCAGTACTATGTTAAGAGTGGCAAAAGTGGGCACCCTTGTAATTGTTCCTGTTCTTAAGGGAAATGCTTTAAATTTTTGCCCATTGAGTATGATGTTGGCTGTAGGTCTTTCATATATGGCCTTTATTATGTCGAGATATGATCCCTCTATTCCCAGATTGCTGAGCATTTTTATCTGATATGGGTGCTGGATTTTGTAGAATGCTTTCTCAGCGTCTATTGATATGATCATATAATTTTTATCTTTCATTTTGT